TTCACAACTCCTAAACCAAAAATAGTGTCGACAACCACTCATCTCCAGCCAATACAAGTGCAAATGTCCAGTTCTCCCGAAAGTGAACTATGCTCAACACCATCACCACTCATCTCGAGGCTAAAAATAATTTTCATTCTAGAGATAAATATATGTCACCTTACAACTCATCTCAACACTTTTACCACTATGCTCAACACCATTACCAATCATCTCAAGAGTAAAAAGATTTATCCCCATTCCAGAGATAGCTTGTAACTCATCTCAGCACCAGGAACAGACACAAACAGTTCCATATATATAGGACTTTAGCCCCAATAACAAAAATAAACACCTTCTTTTATTTGCTCTTACCCAATTAGATAACCTAAGAATGAATGCATTTAAGAACTCCTTTCCCAATTACTAACAATAAGAAAAGGAATTAGAAGGAGAAGAGGATATGCACATTTGAAACAAATTTCCATGTTACCCACTTCATAAAGCATTTGAAAAAAGTTGAGGGATATGAACTAAACTTTCCATGTTTCCCAAACTAGTTGAAGGATATGTACTCAGTATTTAAGATACTTGCACTTCAAAAAATAAAGAGAATTGTGTGTTATGTATGTATGTAAATGCCGCATTATATTTTAAGATACTTGAGAAAGCATTCAACTAATGCAAATTCTACCATACTGTATGTACGATAAAGCATTCATCACTAATGCAAATTCCATCATTAAGGAATTGTGTGTTCTGTATGTAAATGCCCCATTATATTTTCTAACTAAAGAGCATAGAAATTGAAATGTAACTACATAGAGTGGTATGTATGTAAATCCCCCATTATATTGTTTTTAAAGAGTGCATAAGATTTGAATAGGAAATGAAGTGGTAGGTATGTAAATCCCCCGTTACATTTCTTTTCAACAGATCACAGGAATTGAAAATTGTAATTCCAACATTCCTAAGCAGAAAATTGATCATAGGAATAGGAAGTCATATGTATGTAAATGCCACAACAAATGCTTCTATTTCTCAAATTCCCCCATCATATTTGTAATTCCAATATTCCCAAGCAAAAAAAATGAAAGCACTGTGAGAATCAAATGCATACTTGCGAGAAGGGAGGAGAGGGAATATCGAGTAGGGCGAGAGTGTGAGGTCGAAAACACACCTCATATGTGCCGATCTCCGACAAAGTGAAGGAGAAGAGGAGAGATTCTCCTCGGAAGAG